GTGTGTGTGTGTGTGTGTGTGTGTGTGTGGATTTACTAGTGTTCTCCGTTCACATGCAGCTCTCGAGCTCTCCAGAGAATCCACAAATATTCAGATGCTTATAAAACAGGAGAAGAACAGATTAGGGTTTCAGGAGCTCCAGCCAGGCGGTTGCGCCGCTGACCAACCGGACTCACCCTCGCTCGGCTCCGTCACAATCACGTATCTGTCATCTGAGCAGGAGCCGCCGGGGCCTTGGAGCCTCACGGCCCATCCTGAGATACTCAGAGCAAACACACATCCTCCTTAATGCATGTGCTCGACAGGTGAAGTCAACATGAAACGCCTTCAGAAGTAGACAGTTTACTTCTGTAATGTAGGGCAGCGGTCGCTTTTGTTCATCAGGAATCCATTAGATTGTGAAAAGGGTTCACTTCCAGACCAAAAATTGACAGATAATGTACTCACCCCCTTGTCATCCAAGATGTTCATGTCTTTCTTTCTTCAGTCGTAAAGAAATGATGTTTTTTGAGGAAAACATTTGAGGATTTCTCTCCATATAGTGGACTTCTATGGTGCCCGCGAGTTTGAACTTCCAAAATGCAGTTTAAATGCAGCTTCAAACGGCTCTAAACGATCCCAGCTGAGGAAGAAGGGTCTTATCTAGTGAAACGATCGGTCATTTTCTAAAAAATTACAATTTATATACTTTTTAAGCTCAAACGCTCGTCTTGTCTAGTTCTGCTTGAACTCTGTGCATTCCGGTTCATGACAGTTAGGGTATATCGAAAAACTCCCATCTCATTTTCTCCTCCAACTTCAGTACATTTTTTTAGTAAATGACCGATCGTTTCGCTAGATAAGAGCCTTCTTCCTCAGCTGGGATCGTTTAGAGCCGTTTGAAGCTGCATTTAAACTGCATTTTGGAAGTTCAAACTTGCGGGCACCATAGAAGTCCACTATATGGAGAGAAATCCATTCTTTTTCTGAAAAAGAAAGACGTGAAGATCTTGGATGACAAGGGGTGAGTACATTATCTGTCAATTTTTGTTCTGGAAGTGAACTACTCCTTTAATGTGTTCATTTAGTGTGTTTAGCTATGTTTAAATTAACATAATTAAAAAATAAACTCTATTGTGTAATTTTTACATTATTGATAATACCAAAGGGAAAATAATGGCTGTTTTCACCCACAGTACTTTTCTTTAAATTACCTATAAAACAACAACATCAACAAACAAATAGAAGCCAAACAAAGATAAATAAAGCCCATACCTAATTACAGTATGAAAGTAATTACTGTCACTATCATCATAATGTTATTCATATTAATTATAAGGCTATAATCTGTTTATGGAAAAAATTATATAACTATTCTTTTAAATATATTAAATACATAATGATAATAATAATTATTATTATTGTTCAAATATTTATGGAATATATTTAAAATAATAGTTGTATAGTTTTTACATAAACAGATTTTATTACATAAATATTTGAACAACAACAATAATAATAATAATTATTATTATTATTGAATATATTTAAAAGAATAGTTGTTATTATTTTGTTATTAATAGATTTTAATAATATTATTAAAATATAATTTTAAGGAAAGTATGTGAGTGTGTTGTGGGAATATTTTTGCTAATTAATATTATTTTAATAATTGTGAAATAATTATTTATTTATAATCCCATATTATTTTGCTTATTATTGTTACAGAAAACACATTGTAGAGGCTTTTACATGTTTAAATGTAACATATATTTAATTACGCATTTAAGGCAATAATTTGAATGATAATAATAACAATATTATTATTATTATTATTATATTGTGTGTGTAATTATATTTTAGCACTATTCAAATATATTATTTTAAGTCAATTAAAGTATAAAAGTAAAGTTAGATATATTTGTCTAAATATTTCTGCTAATTCATATTATTTATAATAATGATTGAATTATTATTATTTATAATGTAATATTATTTTGCTAATTGATATCAGCGTAAAACGCTATAGATGCTTTTACATGTTTAAATTTAATATATATCAAAATATATATTAACAATATTTTGAAATATTTGAACCTATATATATTCAAATATTTATTTTATATGTATTAAGTATAATTTCTATTAGTTTTACGTATGTTTTATATTATTTGTATATAACATAGATTTATTGAACTATTTTTCTGGTCTCATATGTTTATTATTAGCATTATCCTGTAGCCTTTATGAGCTTGGGGTCTGTTAGCTGCTTTTAATAGGGTTTTGGACGTGCAGCTTAGACTAGTTGAAGTGTGTTTTTGTGCATCGAGGACGTAAAAGCGTTGACGGGAGGGATTTACGCTGATGAGAAAAAGGCCTGTAGCTGAACCTCCTGCGTTCCGAAGAGAAACTGATCCAAACCAGGGGCCCGGAGCCATGTTTCTTGAGAAGAAAACAAGATCTGGCATTCTTTTGAATAAGCCAAACGTCTCTGTCCTGATGCACTGATCCGGTCCTGCTGTAGGTAAAAAATTAAAAACCGCTTCAAATGAAACAATAATATATAATAATATTACAGTATATATAAAAAATTATAAAAAACATTTATATACATACATTTAATAAATGTGTATGTTTTATGTTATATTAAGATATCTAGTTAATAAAATTCACTTTAAAATTAACAATTATTTGTTCAATTGAATTTCTAATTGGATTTTATAAATATTAAATATTTGATTTCAATGTTATGATAAATTATCATTTAATTTATCATAAGCAAATATGATTATTAAATTGTTTAATATTAATTGATATTAATATAAATGGTTTATTTATTAATATATTGTTAATATTAATCAGTAGTTATATATTGTAAGTATAGATATAAATGTGAATATTTCCTTACTATAATAATGATGAATACATTTATGTTAATTTCATTTTTATTTATGGGACAATAAAAATATTTCAATTAAGTAACTATATATCTAAGCATGTATTTGTCAATTTTTTTTTATTAAAATATTTTTTATAATTTTAAAATATTTTGTATACATTTATATATTAAAATAATTGTGTATTGCTTATGAATATTTTAGTGCTATTATTAATTGCTATTATTATTTTATATTTTTATGTTATCATTATATGAATCATTAATTATATATTCTAAATACAGACATAAATTTGAATATTTAATTTATTATAATAATTACTAAGACACTTATATAAGTATATTATTGATATTATTTTATTTAATAAAAATTAGCCGACTTAGATTTTTGACTGCTTCGGTTGTCGTTCATGCCCGCGGTAGACGGAGCGATCATTTTAATATTTGTTTACATATTATTGTAATGATATTATGAGAGATGAGACTGGCGTTTCAATCTCTGCTTGTGTTTTTATTATTACTCTAAAGCTTTTGAATGCACATATAGACAGTGGCATCTCGACGAGGCGCGTGGCGCGGAGTCGGATGAAGACGCAGCCAGATTCTTCTTTCAGCAGTCTCCACTCGATTTGTGACGTTTGTGTGTTTGCGAACCTCTAACCTTTGACCTTTAACCTTTAACCTCACCTAACCAGTTCTTTCCGAAGCTGACTGTGACTTTAAACCAGCTAGTTCTGCTGCCCTGATACTAACGCTCCCCGATCCCTCCTCAACTCCTAAAATACACATAAACTCCTCTAAAGCAGGAATATTTTGCCTGCTTGTGGAAACCCCGTCGACTGCGGCAGCTTCGCTCTTTCCTCTTGTGTTTGCTGTTAGGAGGACGTCAGTATAAATACTAGATCAATGCTCTTAATGACACTCGCTCAAGGCACAGTGTTAGTCCAAGCATTGTTTTAATTCCATTTTTGTTTTCTTTACTGTACAGCTTAGCCAAATGCAATTCAAGCAATAAAATAAAACAAAGAAATATTCATAAATATTGATATAGCAATTATATTGATAGCGATTATGTGCTATATGAATGAATTGATTTTAATTATTTTAAGTATCAGTTATATTAAATAATGAATGAATTAATTAATAGTATATAATTTACGCAGTTTATTAATATTATTATCAAAATTGCAAACGAAGTTAAGAAATTAAAAACTACAACTAAAACAATATTAAAACCGTATCATATTTTATTTCAAACGAATTATTTTATTATAGCATTTATGAAAAAAGTATTATTATTATTATTATTATTATATATTGTTGATTTGTAGATAATATAATATAGTCATTAATATGAAAAATACATAAACTTTTTTGTTTACACTTTTATTGTATTTTGTTCATCAATGCACAGTTATTCCAATAATTATTTTAATTCCATGTAAATTATTTTTATTTACTGGAAAGCCTAGCAACATTCAATTCAAATAACAAAATAAAACAATAAATATTCATAAATATGAATTATAATAGCAATTATATGAATTTATTATAGCATTTATGAAAAAAGTATTATTATTATTACTATATATTGTTGATTGGTAGATAATATAATACAGGCATTAATATGAAAACTACATAAACTCTTTTGTTTACACTTTTATTGTATTTTGTTCATCAAGGCACAGTTATTCCAATAATTATTTTAATTCCATGTAAATTATTTTTATTTACTGGAAAGCCTAGCAACATTCAATTCAAATAACAAAATAAAACAATAAATATTCATAAATATGAATTATAATAGCAATTATATGAATTAGTTTTATGCTAGTTTTATGAATTAATTATTGATTTAAATTATTTTAAGGATCATTTATATTAATGAATGAATTTATTCAGCATTAATATTATTATAAAAATTGCAAATGACATTAAGAAATGAAACAATACAACTAAAACAATATTAAAAACGTATCATATTTTATTTCAAACGAATTATTTTATTATAGCATTTATGAAAAAAGTATTATTATTATTATTATTACTATATATTGTTGATTTGTAGATAATATAATATAGTCATTAATATGAAAACTACATGAAAACTCTTTTGTTTACACTTTTATTGTATTTTGTTCATCAAGGCACAGTTATTCCAATAATTATTTTAATTCCATGTAAATTATTTTTATTTACTGGAAAGCCTAGCAACATTCAATTCAAATAACAAAATAAAACAATAAATATTCATAAATATGAATTATAATAGCAATTATATGAATTAGTTTTATGCTATATGAATGAATTATTGATTTTAATTATTTTAAGTATTAATGAATGAATTTATTCAGCATTAATATTATTATAAAAATTGCAAATGACGTTAAGAAAGGAAAAAATACAACTAAAACCATATTAAAACGTATCATTTTATTTAAAACTAATTATTTTATTACAGTATTTATGAAACAATTATTATATATTGTTGATATATAGATCAACTAGGTTATTAGTATGAAATCTCTTTTATTTACTACAATTTTTATTGTGTTTTGTTCATCAAGGCGCAGAATTATTCTAAAAATATTTCAATTCTATTTCAATTAATTTGACATAATTTATATTATTAATTAATAGATTTTTAATGTGCCATTTATGAAGAGTAATTAAGCAGCATTATTTTTCTTTGATGTACATTCTAGCAAAATAATAAAGTCAAAATAAAACGTTACAATTAATAATGTACTATATTAATTAATAATTGATTTATTATTTTAATCATGTTTATATCAATACATTTTTAGTACATCATATGTATAATTTTATATTTAATTTTAAGATATTATTATTAGTAAGTATTATTATTATTATTATAGAAATTGCGAAATAAACTTAAAAATACAAATAAAGGAATGTATCCAATTCAAATGTAATTTTATTATAGGATTCATGAAAAAATAATTCTAGATTTGTATGATTGTTGTTATTATTATATATGATGTATTGCTGTTTGAAGGTCATTATTACAAACTAAAGTAAATAGTAGAAGCTCTGTTGGTCGAGGCAGGCCTGCTGTGTAAACGTGCGCTTGAGGAGTTGAGATGAAGCAGGCAAAATATCCTTCACGCTCAGAGACGACCTTCATGCTGCTGCTGGACAAAGAGCTCCGCGAGAGACACGCTTACTTACCAAGAGTGCTCTACTATATTCACTACATTCAGTCGTCTAGTACTTCAAGCTAACCATTACTGGATATCGCAATGTTTTTTCTTGTTAAATAAAATGTAAAAATGTCATATATAAATTCATTTCTTTTAATTAAAGTTTGCATAATATAAAATGTTATATTTAGTTATTATTATAAAGTAATTCATTTCATTGTGTATTTTTATATTATACTATTTATATAATTGTATATTATTTTTACAATGAATATTATTAATTTATAGATTTTTGTATATCGTTCATGAAGGGGAAAAAAAACATATTTATTAATATATAAATAGTAATTTTCTTTGCTGTGCAGCCTAGCAAAAAAAAATAAAAATTCTAATAAAATAAATAAAACTAAAATATATATATATATATATTTATTTAATGGTGTTATTTTATTATATAA